TGGGTTAAGTAGTTAATACTCCCAGGCTCTTAAGTAATGCAAAACAATGCCGAAAACCAGAGTGTTGGTTTGTGGTCGTTGCGACGTGTCCTTGAGGAAGTCGGGATAGACGACTGAACTTTAACCCTCCAAGCGGTTTTGTTTTATGGTGCCGCTGCCGATTTAATAGACCGTTATGTGGATCGCTATTTCGGTTAGTCTGTCCCGTTTTTGTTGTTGTTGTTGTTGTTTTTTTCGACATAGCCAAACAATAATGTCAACTCCTTTACAAATCAGTTCTACTTCCCACGTAATTTCTACATTCTGAAATCTGAAAATGTATAGAGGTATATGGCCTTTACTTTCTTGGTTTTTTGCCTCTTAACAAGAGTTTTCCAACATAAGATGGTGAAACCATATAACTTCCACAACACCAGGGGCTGTTACGCTGCCTTAGAATCAGAAAGCTCTACCTGATTCTGACATCTTTGGCCGTTTTGAGTTACTAAGACCATGAGGTCAGAACCAAATTATGTTATATCTACTCTATCAGAATCATAAGATTAATCGGAGTCGTTATCAAGATATCAAATAATTTCATTCGAAAAAAGTTTGATATGTTTACAAATTAATGTGCAGTGAAACTCCACTTTTTCAACGTAAAACTTCTTTAAAAAGCTAGATAGATCTACAATAGTAGTCTACATAGCAGATAGAACTCTGTAATTCTGAGGTAGCGATATGTTAGCTACGCTTGGAGGGTTAGGAGAAGCAAGAAACCCCACAGGCCACAGGGTGCTGTATTATCATCCTAGCAAAGGCGTGCATGTTATGTCTGTCTTGTGATATTATGTATTATATTGGGACCTTGACCCAGAGTCAACCTGAGATAATGTATGCAATGTAATTAACATTGCAACCCAGCCTTTCCAATGAGGATGAAGAGAAATTGTTTTTCCCTCTCTGTTTTCCCCCTCTCTCGCTTTCTATGTGTATGCTTGTATAATTTGGTGCCTACACACATTCACGTATGCACATACGCTCACAAACTCACGCACTCATACGCACTCACTCTCTCTCTCAC